ACAGCTTAGAGGGTGCGACTGAGGCCAGCATAGTGGGGAGAAATGAAGCTGCTGGTTAGGAGTTCAGAACGATAAACGGTGACAATGGTTGGAGATGGTGGGTGCCCCCAGTTGTTGGGGAGAGGGTACAGGAGGTAAAGAAGGGTGCTAGTCAGGAGTTTGAAGCAAGAACTGCAGATAGCAGGAAAGAGGAAAATAAACCAACACGGCACTACAAAGAAAAGTAAATTAAAACAAACCTAAATTTGTGAATAAAAGGAATTCATTTACTGAAACTTATGTTTAGGTGAAGCTGAGGGCAAATAAGTCCAGCTGGAAAACACAGGAATTGCAGACGTTTCCACAGTGTTGCCTCTTGCAGTCTGCAACCGTGCACAACAGTTATACCTTTGTTTTTTGTCTTCAAAATCTCACAGAAGCAGAGGCTGACTTCATCCCTAGGCATCCATTCTACCCTGTTTTTGCCCACTTCATGGAACTTATTCGCTCTCAGCTTTACCTAAGCATCAGTTTCATAAATAAGGCTTTTTGTAGAACAACTTTACCTAAGCATTAATTCCGTAAATAAAGAAGCCTAATGACGGGTTTTTCTGGAACAGCTTCACTTAAGCATCAGTTTCGCAAAAAGGAAACTCCCAGGAGCACACTTCCTCATTCTTTCCATTCTTCACCGCTACCCTCTCCCTTCAAATGTACGTCACTTAGTCAGTCGGCAAAGAATCTGTGCCGTTAACTCCTTATATCCACCTATCCTAGCCCCCTTCCCTTGCCTCAAACGAAACCCGTCACATTCCACCCCCGCTTCCATCTCCCACATTCAGATTGCCGCCGTCCGCCGTGGGGCAGCTCTACCTGGCGTCGGCAGAAAAAATTTTTTGCGGCCTGTGTATGAGACGAGCCAAGCCGAGTTATTGCAATTGCCGACGTTTCTTCTCCGAAAGCCAGTCGAGTTCGGCTAAAACTTCGGAGTTCAGGAATGTTGTTAAGTACTGAGTGCCTTTTCGAATATTTCTACAACACAAAATGGGCCAAAGAATGCGCATGTAATGTTTATTTGTTTCTAGCCACAAACAATAATCCGGATGCACGACAAGAAACACACGCAAATGGCACAAGCAAACTCTATTTGTTTCTCAGTGGCAATTGCCCAATGAATGATACACACATTCGCTCACAGATATACACACACAAAAACAAACACACGAATGCACACATACGCACACACATACGCATGCACACATACACGTACAAACACAAACACGTAAACACACATACACGCACATAAAAACACATGCACGCACACTCTGTGCTGCCCGCCACTCACCCCATTCCCCTTCCTTTCTTGGCCGATACCGTCCCTGGCTTGTGGAAATTTTTTCTTGGCAATGGCAAGGCTACCTTACGGCGAGTGGCGAGGTTTAGGATGTGGCAGATGGGAGGGAAGGGGGCAGGGCTTGAACTGCAGGGACTCACAGCTGGGACTTGGTTAACACACGCTCGTTTATTGGAGAAATTGAAATACTGTTTGGTTGTGGAGTAACTACTGGAAAGAAACTGGAGAAAGGGTAAAGAACGGGAACAGAGATGCTTGCGAGGCGCTCAAGGCCAGAAACAACACAGTATCACAAAGAAAAGAACGATGAATAAAACAAATATAAACATTAGCAAGTGGAAATTGTCTTGCAAAAGCCTATCATCAGTACGAAACTTCTCTATTTATGACGTTCATGCTTAGGACAAGCCGAAAACGAATAAGTTCCACTAGGTCTCACTAATCCGGAACATCGCAGTGCTTGCGTATGAAGATAACAGTGCTTGAAGAAATAAGCAACACAGAAAAACACGAAAGCTCCGACTTCTACGTGTTTTTGCATGCATCCACAAATGCAAAAACGTGTATTGTGACGACCCGCGGTGTGTATGTGTTCCGAGTACATTTTATCCGGGGTTTTCCATTCGAGAG